TAACAGTTGCCTTCTGCATGGTCTCCCAACCTCAAACCTCTCCTCACTTCAATCCCAGTCTACACAGCCCCAGTCCTAAAGCATAGGTCTAGCCACGCCCCCTCCCCCTCCCCCTCCTCCCCACAGGCAATAAACTCCAGAGGTTTCCTATCACCTCTAGAATCAAATATAAACAACTATGTTTGGTATTTAATGCTCTTCACCATCTGGCCCTGTGCTCCCTTCCCAGCCTTATTACACAGGACTTCTTCCTCTCTGAGCTCTGCTTGCTGTTCCTCACACAGTGCTCTCTCCAGCCTGGATGCTTCTGTACTGGCTCCGATGCCTGGAACACCCCTCTTCCTCACCTGTGTCTCCAGGAATCCCTAGCTTCTTTTACAATTCAGCTCAAGCGCCACCTTTGGCAGGAAGATGTTTCCCTCAGCCGTCTGCTTTGACTAAATTTATTTACACCTATCTACACACGTACATATCATCATTTTCCTCCAGCAGAATATAGGGCAAGGACTGTTTTGCTTGTCTTTGTTACCTCCACCCCCCACCCCCAACACTGGGCCTGACACATGGTAGATGCTTACTGAGGCTGGTCCTCTAGCCACCACAGTCAAGCTGCCTCTAATACCCATTTTCCGGGTGGAAAAACAAGCCAGGAGGAGTTAATCCCTGCTCTGAAGGCAGAGGGTAAGGTACTTAAGATTTGTTGAACTGAACTGCCCATGGCCACACAGCTAGCATGGGCCAGGGTGTTAGAACCAGGTCTCTCAGGATACCAGCCACTGTAGCTCTGCTCACTTCCCTTTGTACCCCACACACAGGCTCTCACTGCTCACCTAGCTGCTTGGGGCCTTAAAAACCCCTTGAATTCCCAAAACACCTTCTCTGCAACTCCTGGGTACCAAGCAAAGTCTGTGTTCTCAACTCTCTCCCCTCACATGAACTTGGCAAAGCCCTACAAGTTGGACTATCCACCATGGGGCCTTGAAAAGTGCAAAGAATTGTGAGCTCAAAGGGCCCCACTGGGAGCTGTGACTCCAGAGAGGGAAGCGATAAGGGGAAAGCCCCCAACAATCCCAGCCCTATTTCACGAAGGGCTGTCTGATAAAGCTGCAGCTGGATCGAGTGGCAGCAGAAGCCTTGGCTTGGGTTCTCCTCAGCCCCCACCCCCACGGGTCCCAGCGCCCTGCTCAGGGTAGAGGCTTAGCCATGGCAACAGGGAGATTCCTATCAATGGCTGCAGGGTGGGAAGAGAAGGCCCGGAGAATCAGGTTTCTAGCACAGGGCTTCACTTCAGGCCTTTCTCAGCCAGAACTGCCTCTGCTGAGTTGTCTGCTGGCTTGGAAGGGGCCAGTTTGGGGCAAGCCAATCTTGTCCAGATGAAGTGCGCTAGCCTGACTGGGGGACAGCAACTCTGTGAACATTTGCTGCACTTCCTCCCAGGATGCAGCAGGCTCAACAACCTTCCATAGAAGCCACTGAGCAGGGTGTGCTATAAAGGGCCTGATCCCTTTCCCCTTCCCCCCACCAGAGGAGACCCCTACTACCCGTATAACTTAGGGCAAGTCATGCATGCTTCATCGGTAAAATGAAAGGATTGTGGAATGAGCTAAATGACCTCTAAGCTTCTCTTTACCCTTTTTTGGAATCATAGATTCCTTGGGCAATCTGCGTCCACCTACAGACCCCTTCTCTGATCCATATTTTAAAATGTAAAACATAAAATTCATAAGATTACAAAGGAAACCAAATATATTGAAATGCAACTATGTTAAGTACTAATAAAAACAAGCTCACAGAATTTATTGCTTGGTGGGAAAAAAAGCCCCTCCCACTTACATTAAACATACCACCTCTGCCACTGCCCAGTCCCCAAGCCTAGGGAAAGGAACTGTACAGTTTAGATTTTCTTCCTGCCTGACAGTTGCAGAGAGGATGGAGGCAAAATAGCAATCTCCTTTCCTCTAACAAGTGGGAAAATCACTCATGTTCCAGAAAAAACACTACCAAATCTCCATCAGTAGAGGAATACCCTCCTCCACCCCAGCCCCTCCCACTGTTTCGGGGGCCCTTCCTGAAGGCCTCCAAGGAAGATCTACCCATGTGCTGGAAGGCCCTCCTGTATTCTTAATAAATATTTCATGGGTACCAATGTAGGACTGAGGCTGCCCATCTGTTACTCTTCATTACTGCTATGCAACTAGCCCCGCTTGTTTGAGAAATGACTTGAGACACCCATTTTCAGGATCTTAAAAAAAAGAAAAAAAAAGCAACACAGGAACATAGATCTAGAGTTAGAAGGGCCTTTAGAGGTATCGAGTGCACCCCCTTCACTTTACAGATGGGGAAACTGAGGCCCAGAGAAGAAAGGATTTGCCTAAAGTCACTTAGGTAACAAGTCATGTACCATGACTCGTATTCCCTTTGTAACCTTGGATAAATCACTTTCCCTCTCTGGGTCTGTTTCCCCATGTATAAAACGAGGGAATTGGATTAGATGGCTTCAAAGGTCCTCAAATCCATGACCCTACATTCTTTCATCTGTACTATGGAGGTCCTACTCCCCCCACTGCTCCCTCAACTAGAATTTTGTGACCTAATGAAGTAGGACCTGAGGCAGAACATAGGTCAGCCTTCAATGCATTTTCTCACCTGCCTGGCTCTCCCCCCTGCATTGGGGTCTTGGAGAGAGTATGCATTGCCAACTACTTTGAGAAATCTTTTATTAAATGTTGATGATGGTTCAGGGTTTAGAGGTATAGGGAACAGTTCTTAATTGGGAAGTTAATCACAACTAAAGAATTGCAATACAAAAATTCAGGCATATTTGCCTTTGGAAATAAATCAAACCCTTGTAACAGGGGCATGAGCTGGGAGGTCTTTCTTGTACAAAAACAATTAACAATACTTTGCAAAAGTCATACAAAAATACAGTATAGAAACCAGTCTCCCCAACCCAACACCCAACAGCAGCTTCTGGTATAAACCCAAACCCAACCAACCCCACCAACCCAGCTTTCCCACAGACAATAAAGAAGTCAGCAACCTTGGTTCCACAGGCCACAGAATGACCCATGGAAGTCATGTCATTCAAGATGGGTCCCTCATTCTTAGGGTACACCCACTGTATATCAGAAGGGCCTCAACCCTTTAGCCCTGGTGGTCTCTGGGGTCCAGGGTCACCATCTGCTTGGAAGAACTTTGGAAGCAGATATCAAAGCTTCCAGTCCCTCCTCACACCCAGAATCAGGTGCCAGTCAGAACCACACTATGTGTGTTCTTGGGGGATGGGAGTAGGAGGCAATCCAAAACCTATGGCCTAATAAAGGCACCGGAGTGTCAAGTTGTCAAGTGGCTATAGGAGGTTGACATATCGATCCCTTCCACTACCCAGTCAGGTGGCTCCTGAAATTGGAATCATAGGATCTTTTCGCTGGGAGTGCCCTCAGGGTTCACCTAGTTCAACCCTCTGCCCAATAGATGGATGCTCTCTACAACATCCTCAATACAACACCAGCACAGAATAGTAGGTGGTGCATAGGATTGGGGAATCAGAGGTTCTGGGTCTGAATTCTGTGACCTCTGAGACTTCTCTGGGCTTCACTTTTCTCACCTGTAAAATGAAAAGATTGTATTAAACGACCCTTCCAGCTCTAAAATCCTATGATCTCATAGCCTGGCATGAGTTAAATTCAAACTCATCCCCAGACTGGCGTTGCACCAGAACTGGATATAGTAAACCCAGATAGGGCATGAGCTCATGTGATAAAGCAACCAGAATTTGGTTTTGGTCTGGGATTGTACCCTGGGGACCTGCCATTGGCCTCATCTTCCATATCTAGTGCTCTGGGTTATTTCAGTAGGTCCAGTCTGGAATGAAAGCCAGATTCCCAGAGGGCCCGGCCAACCAGCTGAGCCCCTGAGCTCTCTAAGGAAATTCTAAGGAAGAGTTTCAGTCATGCCAGGCTATGAGAACAGGCAGAAGAATAAGGACAGCTGGAGGAGCTATCAATGCTGTGGGAAAGAGATATGCAAGACTGGGACAGCTCTTCAGAACCTACCACTACTCTAGGGCTTCAGATAGAAGGAAGAAAGAAGGCAGAATAACTTTCTAACTCCAACCTTCCCCAACCCCAGGTACCACACCCTAGGCTGCCCACCACTTGCCTCCATCTAGGCCATAAGTGCCAATGATTGGGGGGTGGGGTGGGGGGGGCGTGCACACCAAGGCAGGCCCTACTCCTCGAACTAGGTCCTACCCAAACCCTTACAGCTAAGACCAAATTAAACGGGATTTGAAGAGTGCCCCCAGTCACTAGGATCATGGAGGACGTATCAACAGGATACCAACTCGTTTCTCAAACCCAGCCACCAGAAGCCTCTGCTGAAAAAAAAAACAACAAAAAAACCCCAAGAGGCACCGTTCTGGTGACTATGTTAACCCCTTTGCCTTCCAAGGCAGGCTTTCAATTCCATATACGACTCTGTTTGCAAGTTTGTGGCATCGTCAAAAGGTTGCCAACTCCTTGGCTACTGTAAAGTGTTTAGCAGAGAGGTAAGGGTCTCCATGAGTAAGTATCCAGGCTCCTCTCCAGTGAAAACAGCTCATGTATCCACTGGAAAAAGTATCTTGAGTCGTCAGCCTCAAAGCCCAGCTGTCCTCGGCTAACCCCAAAGGGACAGCCCCAGCAGGAGCATCCCTCACCATGACCAACCCCCGAGCTCCGAGGAGTGTGTGATTTCAGGGAGGACACCACCTGTCGCTCAGCATCTGTCATGCCTTGCCTTTCTCCAGGAGCTGTACCCCAAAGCCCCTCCTTTAGGCAACTGCTTTGCTGGACACAGAAACTGTCCCCCTAAATGAGGCAGAGGAGCTGGGGGGCAAGAGGGGGGATGCAACATGCCAAAACAGTTTTTCAAAGGTTCCAAGAATGCAAGCCATTGTGTGTGTGTGTGTGTGTGTGTGTGTGTGTGTGTGTGTGTGTGTGTG